TAGTATTTTATGGCAGCGGCTTGAGGAGCGAATCCTGGATAAATAGCCGCCGTGTGTTAAATCAATGGGCGCAGTCGTACGGCCATACACACAAAGCAGATGGTATAATCCCATTTTGAGAAATTATCCTGCCACACACAATATCATGCATACCGAAAAACCTGACATAGTGGGAAAATTTGTTTGTATCAGAAAAGAATCTGCCAAACTATTACAAGCGTACTTTGGTTCACGTGTAAAGGGCCTTAGAAAGTTTGTTTACAAATGCTTTTGTGCCGTTATTAAATGTTATGCCTGATATGGGTATTTCAAGCTGAACATTGCATTAGGTCCTAAGTAACATTGACAGATTCTCTACGTCGACTTTCTCTTTGTATCCCCACGGCCATGTAAAGACATTCCCAGGTATTTTCAGAACACATATCGATAAAAGAAGCTTTTATCTAGCATCTAATAACACAAACACAACAAGAAACGGTTATGTGCTCAAGTTATTAACGAAAGAGAAAGTCGCCAAAGAGAATCGATCAATGTTACTTAGGACCTAATGCAATGTTCAGCTTGATTTTTGGAATCGTTTTGACGTCAAGAGACCGAAAATCGATGTCCGACGCCATTTTGAAATCCAAGATGGTCCGGTTATATAAAACCTTTGAAACATTGTCCCCTAGCTCTCTGGCTATTCGATTACCGTCAATGGATGTCCGTCGGCGTTTGACGCTCGATTGTGGAACAGAGACCGACGTTAAATAAATGAATAAAGAAAATGAAGAAGACTAATAATTAGTAGGGATATATTCCTTTATAACTCGCTTAGATCAGAAACGATGTTTATTGTAGAGTCACTATATTCATAGTCTGGCGGTTACTAATTTGTCTCTGTGCAATATTAATATAAATAATACTGGCAACTTTGATCTTTACAATAAAAATATGCTCAAGCGTTTGCAGAACGTTTTTATTTTACGCAATAAAAACATTTTGTCTCTGTGCAATATCAATATAAATTTGCAAAGCTATATGAAATTTTACACGAAATAAGCGGAAATGTTTAAAAAAAAAGCGATTAACTTACACTTTTCAATGCATACCTGCAATATATTAACCGAAATACCATTCTATCCGCACAAAAAGCTATCACAAAGTATTTTGCTTTTTGTCTGCACATTTTCCACTACGATGTTCGACATTGACGACATTGATGAATAATCACCAAAATTTATTTCATTTTAGATCGATTTCATTATCGTAATTATCACAATTCTTTCACCCAATGGATAACAAAAAAACTCATGCTCGAAAGTAAAGAGCCACCCACATTAGATTCGGATCGGCCGCGTTGTGTCAAAGTGACAGCTAAATCTATTGTATAACTGTCAAATTTACGTAAACACAACGCAAACGGATCTTCAATTGGCGGAAGTTCAGTTGGCTCCCGGCATTCCCTAATAAAAATAACCATAAAAGAGAGCTTAACGACGTGTTCGTGGTATCATCCAAACCATTTGTGGGATAGTTTACCCATCCGGAATACAGTTCGTTTATGGTACTTGTTTATTAGGGTTGTCTCCGCCAGACTATGAATATAGTGGCTATAGTTTAATGGGGTGGTTACACTGAACCAATTTGACATATTCCTGTTATGTGGGAATCTAATAAATTTGCGCTATAAGATAATCCATTGAAAATGATATGATTGAAAATGTGTCAGGTAACTTCTATATGAATATCTGATACATTTACAATGCTGATAATTTGGTTACTTTTATATGATCGTCATATGATAAATGAAAATCAGTCAAATTATAATAATTAACTGAAATGGATTTGAAACGCATAAGCATAAGCTTTACGTTTCACCACAATATAATATATGTGTCATCTATCAATCGAAGTAAAGTTTATGTGAAAATCACATGAAATTTACTTCTTCTTTTGACACATATATTTAACCGATTTCTAAAAATAAATCGAAAAATAAACATCAGGCAGTGGAAGCTTTCACAGTTGTGTCTTTTTTTATTGTAGCTGATTTGGGATTCGATCAAGAACTGTTGAGGTGTGATGCTTTCGGTTTCTGCGCTCGATTCCACTGGGACACGGTTGACTTCAAGATTGAGCTCGTTCAATTAGCATGAAGTAAGAGCAGCTCTCCCGACATGGAATGTAGGGCAACTTTATGCTCGTTTTGCTAGAGTGAAGACAAATAGCACTGACAAATTTATGTTCCGTTTCGGTGGTGTCAATAATTTATGGAGAGCAATCATGTAAGATGTATTTTATTTTGAGCGATATTCATTCCAGAAAAACATGCCAAAACAAATGTTTGCTGTTGGACATCTTAAAAGGCAAATCTATATGACTATATAACGATTGGGATAAATCTGTTTACAATCTTTAAACCTCAAAAATCAAAGGAAGCTATTCCAATGAGATATGAGATATACATGTTTTCCTATACTGCAAAGTTAAATGACAGTCCAATAGTTTCTACATGTCTGTTTACACGCAACATATCAACAAACGTCAAAAATCGTTAAAAGCAACATCAATAAAATATACATGATTATCTTATAAGATATATCTTTTAGTGAGCAAAGTTCATCATGAAACCAAATATATTGTACTGAATTTTCTCATAATGCAAACTTATATGATTTTCCATTAGTTTCTAGATGTCTGTTCCCCCATATATCAACATGACATATCAACAATTTTTCACCATGAAATATATCAGACAATATTCATATACTTTTTACCTATCGCTAACCACGTTCGAAGCAAAGTATTATCAAGTACAAAGTATGTGAAATTACGATAGAAATCATTCCATATCGCAGTCATAATTTTTAAGTGATAATCCAATGGAACACGCAGAAAAAACACTGAGGTGTAAACCAACAAAATATTTTGTTATTATTCAATGCAAAATTTCTATTTGTTTCAGTTCATAAATAAGTTTCAAATGGATACAGAAGCCTATTTAAATCAAACCAATAAAATTGTTTAAAACTGTTTTTATTATTGTGTGTACAGTGCACGTTTCAAACTGTCAGTCGACATCGTTGTTAGTCAAAAAGATTCTCCGTACGGAAATGTTGCCTTCGATCGTTAATCTTAACAAGTAAGTTTAAGTTTTTTTTTATGTCTAAGTATAAATTTTCTCAACTAGCAATCCACCTTAACTAACATTTGAAATTTCAGTGTTTACGTGTGATAGGGCACAATTTGCATGAGGATTCGGTTCGGCTGACCAACGAGAAGGTGAAGATGGGGATTCCAACTTGGATAGAAGCTGAATCAATTTACCAGCGTAGGGATCATTTGGATATGAATAATGACTAGGTGTCAGAAGCGCATCTTCAAGAGAGTGCATACATTTCGCCGTAGCTGAGCATACTGGAAACTTAGATGTTGTGACCCGGAGAACCAGGTAGGTTCTGAGGTGGAAACTGAAAAGTTCAAAACGAGCATTTTAGAATATTTTACCATTATAGGAACTCCTCCTCTGCCATTGCGTATGCTGCACCGCCTAAGGCTCCACCGAAATGCGTCAACACCAGCAGCTGCAGCAGAATCGCTACTTGTAGTAAGACAATCGTCAAAATTACCACAAACAATAACGTAAGAATCGACACCATGGTGCATTGAAAGGCGCACAAGAACAACAAGTTTTTCCATCCATTCACGCACCAAATGCTTCAATGCAATAAGCTGATTGAGTGTTCACTCGGCTGTCGACAAAAGCAGACCACTCTCGATGTGTGCTACGCGATCGTCTGTTTTCTCGGCAGCAACCATAGTGTGGTCCTCCTCATTGCTCTTCATCAGCAGTTCTTTCGGTCGATGCGTCGTCGACTTTGGAAAGCAACCGTTTCGTGATGAGTGTGTGAGTGCTGACCACGTTTTGCGTCCATTGCTGCAATGGACGCGCTCTGACCCTCGTTGGCGTACAACAATTTGCCATACAATGAAACTACTGGAAGCGGCTCCAGTTCTGATGGAGGAGGCTTTTTGGATAGCGGAAGATAAAGTGTTTATTGTGTTGTACCTTTTGACTATATATTTAAGATGTATTGTATAGTGACCAAGAATCCTCGGCTCTGTTAAGTTAATTCGGTTGAGCCTTATCAAATAAATTAATAAACAAAAAAAAAATAAGCTGATTGACTGTTCAATAATTTAATAAACAAACAGCTGATTAGTTAGATACTTGATTGAAATCATAATTGAAAAAAAAATATGGGTTTATTTTTTAATAATGACAGCTAATCTGACCTGGGGGTTTTAATAAATTTGATTTTGAAACAATATAAATAACGTTTCAATACCACTAAAAACGATAATTACCTTAAATAATGCTTCAACTTGATTTAAGCAAACATTTTCTCAAATCTATAAAAATCGATGTTCAATTCAATAAAGTTAGTGGTATTATTTCAACTAATTTTTTTGTTGAATTAATCTATCAATTTTATTGATCCATATTCTATTCAAAACTTTGTTTAAAATGAAACATAATTTGTTTGGTTGAACTTTATTTTTTTCTGCGTGAATCCATCAATCATCACATAGAATGAATAAATCTGCTGACATTGCTATGTTATAAGATGGATCCAGTAAACGGTACATGTCGATTTGTTTCAGTGTATAAGTATACACTGGAAAATGTTTTCATTTAGTTTCAATAGGAAATACAATACTTTTTTCCAATATCTAAATTTGGGATATTTATCTAAATTCCACGTAACGATAAATTGTAATGGAAGCATTCAATCAAGATTTCAACTGTCAAAACAAAAAACACTTTTGCGCAACGTTGCATGCAACATTGAACACAACATTTCAATCAAACCGTTTTCTTTCCCACATGGCTTCGATTTCGATGCATCCCCACACAAAAAATGCATTTTTGCAACAACAACAACAACAAACGACACCAACGAAACGTCATCGGCGTGTGTCTCTGCAGGGCTGTCAATCCCCGCGATGACGGTGGAATGTTTATTTTTGTTTAGCCCACCACCGTCGACGGTACGTCTCCGCCGGTCGCCAGCAGCCACCGAAGGAAATAGCTACGTGTATGGTAGCGCAATTGATATTTTTGTTCATTTTTGGTTATTTTTAACGGCGGCTCGCATTATAGGGGTTATCTGATTTGGGGTGGTATTTCTATCGTTTGTTTTGTTTTTCTCTCTCGGTTTTGATTTAGGTGTTGGATCAGTGTTAAATGGAAGGGCTGGTCCTTATGCCGTAATCCAGTGACTTTGGATTCTCCGCGTGATATCACTACGAGTAACCGAAAAAAAAAGTAAATTAAACGATTAAGGAGTAGACGGAGGTGATCTGCTTACGGTAGGTTTGCTTTTGATGAATTCAAGTATGTTTAGTACAACCATTTTTTGATAGATTTGAAGGTATTCTTTTTAGCGTCAGCGGAAGCAGGAAGCCAAAAATAACGCATCGATGACCTTGTTGGTATTCTTGATTGCAGCTGCCCACTGTGTCTACACGCCATTCACAAAGGTGGAGGAGAGTTTCAATCTTCAGGCGATTCATGACTTGCTTTACCATCGACTGAATGTATCCCAGGTGGGCATTGAAATGTCATTTTCGAAAATGGACCTGAATTTCACCCGAATTTTCGAATATTTACTTTCAGTATGACCATCTCGAATTTCCCGGTGTGGTTCCAAGGAGCTTCCTGGGTCCGTTGTTTATCACATTTCTCGTAACACCAGTCGCCACCGCGCTCGAATTTTTCGACATAAACAAATTCTGGATGCAATATGTCGGTAAATATATAGAGTTGATCTTTTCCCACGCGTGCACAATGATTTTATTGGCTGACATTTAAACAATTTGAATATTTTCAGTTCGCTTCGCTCTGGCAGCGACGGTGGTGTTCGCGTGGAACAACCTTCGTGTCACCATTCATAAACGTCTCGGTGTTTCCGTTTCGCTGTGGTACATTTTCATCACCATCACGCAGTTTCACTTTATGTTCTACATGAGCCGTCCGCTGCCAAACATCATGGCCCTGCCGCTGGTGCTACTGGCAGTGAACTATTGGTTGACGCGAAGTATCAAGCTATTTATTGTTTGCTCCGGAGGGGCCATCATTATTTTCCGAGCAGAGTTGGCCATGCTTTTGGGCTTGTATCTCTTGTACGACTTGTACTACAAACGAGTACATTTGGATGTAGTGCTGAAAGCTGTGATCCCAGCAGGCATCCTTCTGGTCGTTCTGACGGTGGCGGTTGACAGTTTCTTCTGGCGACGCCTGCTGTGGCCCGAAGCAGAAGTCTTCTGGTTCAACACCATCCTGAACAAGAGCTCCGAGTGGGGTACCTCGCCGTTCCTGTGGTACATCTATTCAGCGCTGCCACGTGCCATGGGACTGTCGTTTCTGTTCGTCCCCTTCGGATTGGTCCTGGAGACCCGCATCCGATCGCTAGTCATTCCCGCGGTGGTCTTTGTGCTGCTCTTTTCCATGCTGCCGCACAAAGAACTGCGGTTCATCATCTATGTGTTTCCGTTGTTTAATGTGGCCGCTGCTTGTGCCTGCAGTAGGATGTAAGTGGAATCAGTGCAGAGGGGGAATCGATCAATACTCATTGTTTTTCGATTTCAGATGGATCAACCGAAAAAAGACAATTTTGTACAAGTTCCTATCGTTCTTGGCCATTGGGCACCTGGTTGGCAATGCGTTTCTGACGATGTTTCTGCTGCTGGTGGCGGGAACCAATTATCCCGGAGGAATTGCTATCTCAAGGTAATCCATTGGAATTCGGTTACTTTTAAAACACGAATTATTATTTCTGAATTTTGATTCTTGATGAATGTGAAATTATGTTTATTGATGAATATGGAATTTTAGTCAATCTGGAATATTGGTTCTTGATGAAACTCGATTCTAGATGAATATCGATTATTTTATTTATTAATCTGAATTCATGATAAATCTTGATTCATGATAAATCTTAATTCTGGATGAATCTTGATTATCGATGAACCTGAATTTTTGATTAATTCGGATTCTTGATGAATCTTAATTCTTGATGAATCTTAATTCTTGATGAATCTGGATTCCTGATGACTTCGGATTCTTGATGAATCTTAATTTTTGGTCAATGTTGATTCTTGATGAATCTGGATTCATGATGAATCTGGATTCATGATGAATCTTAATTCTTGATTGATCTTGATTCTTGATGAATCTTGATTTTTGTTCAATCTTCATTTGTGATCAATCTTGATTTTTATCAATCTTAAGTTGTGTTCAATTTTGATTCTTGATCAATCTTGATTCTTGATAATGCTTGATTCTTGATAATGCTTGATTCTTGGTCAATCTTGATTCTTGATCAATCTTGATTCTTGATCAAACTTGATTCTTGAAGAATCTTGATTCTTGATGAATTTTGATTCTTACCCAATTTTGATTCTTGATGAATCTTGATTCTTGATTAATCTTGATTCTTGATCAATATGGATTATTCTTGATTCTTGGTCAATCTTGATTCTTGATGAATCTAGATCCTTGATGAATCTAGATTCTTGATGAATCTAGATTCTTGATGAATCTAGATTCTTGATGAATCTAGATTCTTGATGAATCTAGATTCTTGATGAATCTAGATTCTTGATGAATCTAGATTCTTGATGAATCTAGATTCTTGATGAATCTAGATTCTTGGTCAATCTTGATTCTTGATGAATCTAGATCCTTGATGAATCTAGATTCTTGATGAATCTAGATTCTTGATGAATCTAGATTCTTGATGAATCTAGATTCTTGATGAATCTAGATTCTTGATGAATCTAGATTCTTGATGAATCTAGATTCTTGATGAATCTAGATTCTTGATGAATCTAGATTATTGATGAATCTAGATTCTTGATGAATCTAGATTCTTGATGAATCTAGATTCTTGATGAATCTAGATTCTTGATGAATCTAGATTCTTGATGAATCTAGATTCTTGATGAATCTAGATTCTTCAAGAATCTAGATTCTTGATAAATCTAGATTCTTGATGAATCTAGATTCTTGATGAATCTAGATTCTTGATGAATCTAGATTCTTGATGAATCTAGATTCTTGATGAATCTAGATTCTTGATGAATCTAGATTCTTGATGAATCTTGATTTTTGGTCAATCTTGATTCTTGATTCTTGATTAATCTTGATTCTTGATGAATCTTGATTCTTGATGAATCTTAATTCTTGATTAATCTTGATTCTTGATGAATCTTGATAAGAATCTTGATTCTTTAGGAATCTTGATTCTTTAAGAATCTTGATTCTTTAAGAATCTTGATTCTTGATCAATCTTGATTCCTGATCAATCTTAATTCTTGATTGTTGATCAATCCTAATTATTGATGAATTTAGATTCTTGATCAATCTTGATTTTTTATCAATCTTGATTTTTGATAAATCATGATTCTTGTTCAATATTGATTTGTTTTTTTTTTTTTTTTTAATTCTTTATTTAAGAGATTTTTAGCCTTAGGCTAGTTCATCTCTAAATATTGATTTGTGATCAATCTTGATTTTTTATCAATCTTGAGTTTAGTTCAATTCTGATTCTTTATCAATCTTTATTCATGATCAATCTTGATTCTTGCTCAATCTTGATTCCTGATCAATCTTAATTCTTGATTAATCTTGATTTTTTATCAATCCTAATTATTTATGAATTTAGATTCTTGATCAATCTTGATTTTTTATCAATCTTGATTTTTGATTAATCTTGATTCTTGATGAACTTGATCCTTGATGAATCTTGCTCCTTGATAAATCTTGATCCTTGGTGAATCTTGATTCTTGATCAATCTTGGTGCTTGATCAATCTTAATTTTTGATCAATAGTTATTCTTGATGAATCTTAATTTTTATTCATTCTTGAATCTTGATCAGTCTTGATTCATGATCAATCATGATTCTTGATCAAATTTGATTCTTGCTCAATATTGATTCTTGATCAAGCTTGATTCTTGATCAAGCTTGATTCTTGATCAATCTTGATTCTTGATCAAGCTTGATTCTTGATCAATCTTGATTCTTGATCAATCGGGATTCTTGATGAATCTGTATTCTTGATGAATCTTGATTCTTGGTGAATCTTGATTCTTGATGATTCTGGATTCCTGACGAATCTGGATTATTGATGAATCTGGATTCTTGATTAATCTGGATTATTGATGGATCTTGATTCATGATGAATATTGATTCTTGATGAAACTGGATTTTTGATGAATCTTGATTCTTGATCAATCTTGATTCTTTATCAATCTTGATTCTTGATTAATCGTTATTCTTGATCAATCTTGATTTATGGTGAATCTTGATTCTTGGTCAATCTTGATTCCTGATCAATCTTGATTTTTATTCATTCTTGAATCTTAATCAGTCTTGATTCTTGATCAATCTTGATTCTTGATCAAGCTTGATTCTTGATCAATCTTGATTCTTGATCAATCTGGATTTTTGATGAATCTTGATTCTTGATCAACCTGGATTCTTGATTAATCTGGATTCTTGGTCAATATGGATTCTTGATGAATCTGGTTACTTGATGAATCTGGATTCCTGATGAATCTGGATTCTTGATGAATCTAGATTATTGATGAATCTGGATTATTGATGAATCTGGATTCTTGATGTATCTGGATTCTTGATATATTTGGATTCTTGCTGCATCTTGATGAATAGATTCTTGATGAATTTCATTTCTAGAGAATCTCTAAAATTGAATCGATGAATATTGAATCTTGAATGCTGATGCATTATGAATTCTGACGATCATTGGATTTTCATGATGATGATCCATCAATCATGCTTTTCGATTAATCTAGATGGATCTTAAGTCTGATCAATATTGATCATCCTTGATGAATTATGAATCATGAAGAATCTTTGATGAACCGTGCTAAATCTGAATGAAAATTGAATCCTGCGAGAAAAATATTCCAAAGAAACCTACCGAGAAAATTCTTGATGTCTAACAGGTTCCTTCTTTTTTCCAGATTCCATCGATTGGCAACCAGTGAAACGAATGTCACCGTCCACATTGACAACCTGGCCGCTCAGAGCGGTGTCTCTCGCTTCTCGCAAATCAATCCGGATTGGATGTGAGTAGTTTGTTCTTCCTTAATTTCATCCGATTCTAACCAACAAATTCCCTTCGAACCTCAGTTACAGCAAAGAGGAGAACCTGTTCCCGGGCGAGGAGCGCCTGCACCAGTTTGACTACCTGCTGACCGAGGCCCGGGACAAGTACTCCGACGAGATGCGCCTGCTAGGGCAGACACACGAGATTATCGAATTCGTCGAGTGCTTCAACAGCATCGGACTGCAGTATAAATCGCTGCTGCCGGTTAAGATCAAAACCAAACCGTGCGTTTTCATCATGAAGCGACGGGACGGAGTCGATCGGAATCGGATTCGGTTGAACTTTGACGATGTAGTGGAAACGAACACCCTCGGTGGCAGTGGGTCCCTGAGTGATCCGGAGTTTCCGACGTTCGAATTTATCGAAAGGGAGGACGAGGAGGAAGGGCAGGTGGAATTTGAATCTGAAGTTGAAGTGGAGGAGTTGAAAGAGGAGCAGGAGGAGGAGGAAGAGGAAGAGGCTCCAAAGATTCCCAAACCGAAGAAGAATCGCAACCGGAACAGAGAGTCTACGGTGAAGCCACCGCAACTGGTGGTGCAGCGGAAGTCTTCGTCCAAGAGTAGGATGAAAATCAAGGAAATCCTGGAGGAGAATGCCCACCTGCTGAAGGATGACGACGAGGGGGAAACGCAGGAGCAGAAGCGAGCCAAGGTGGCTTCCTACCTGCAGAAGGCGTCCTCGTCTTCGAAGCTGAAGTCGGCACAGAAGATCATCAAGGAGGAGAAACTGAAACAATTGGCTAGTGAGCTGGGCAAGATAGACTTTAGTAGGCTGTGCAATTTGGATCGAATGTCGACGATGGAGTGCCTGAAGAAAATCATCGACGAACAGTACGGAGCGGAGGAGGAGGGTGAGAACGAGCAGGTTGTATAATGAGAGGTGAGTTGAGTAATTCGATTCGTTTGGTAGGTTTGATCAAGTCCCCCGAGAAATAGCTTTATAAAAACGAAGTGAGAATAGATAGGATGCCAAATTGACATTTTTGTGCGAAATCGAATAGATCGAAGCAGTCAGGGTTTTTTTTTCGGACGTGGAGATAAATCACAGCCGGCTTTGACCAAGTCTGGAACTAAAACACCTCCGAATTGCTTATCTTAAAACCTTTATTATTTCTCTTCTTAGTTCCTTAAACTTAACAGAACTGTCCAGCTGTCAAACGATTCCATCATTTCCATCTGTTTTATTGTATTCTAGCTTTCTACTAAATTGTTATTGAACCTTGAAATGGTTTAAAACTGTTTCACCTTTCTTGGCAAAGAGTGCTTCGAGTAAATATAGAGTTTAACGCGTGGTTACATTTTCTGTTATATTCAACTAACACCTTTTGCACGAAATTGGGATGTTTGTCGCACTGGAGAGAATCGAAGAGTTAATGTGGGAAATGGACTTTTCGTGCATGTTTGAGTAAGGTTAAATGTATAACACTGTATAAGTAATACTTCCGTTCGTTTTTTCCTCTTCATTGTCGATCGATAAAACGGGGAGCTAATCTTAATTAAAGCAATTAAATGTTTGGAAATGTTTTCGAGGGTTAGCTTTCCCAATTTAGGCCACATTTTTTTTTATTCAGTGTGTAACTTTTTACCAATTTTGTAAAGAGTACCAGTGCCGGTTTTTGTTTGAATCCGTCAACAAAATTAGGATATAAATGTCAACATTTCTATTCATGAGTGTGAGTGTGAACGTGTGTACTGTTAAATAAGCTGAAATTTCGCCGAATGTTTGATTGTGTGGTGGTGACTCTTGCTGCAAAAATCGCATCGTGAGTATTGTGTGACTAACGTAATTGTCATAGAAAAATAGTATCCTTTGGAGCTATCTGTCGTCAAATCACTGCTGCAGCGCATCATCCTGATCCAGCTGTATCGTCGTGTGGTTCGAGTACAGGCCGTAGTTTCCGCTTTGCTCGTAATCGTCGCCACCGTCGTCTTCGTCGGCCATCATGACGTCGGCCGGCGCCGATGATGGCTGTCCCGTCGATTGTGTTCCTTCGGCTGACGAAGACGAGACGTCCACCAGCGGCTCCATGCCTTGGTCGCCATCCTTTTGCTGCTGGTATAGCTGAATCAACCGGGTCAGATTGGACGATTCCCAGATGGCGGCCGATTTGCGAGCCTTCATCGTTTTACTGTGGATCAGATGTCGGTACAGATTAGTGTAGAAAAGCTCCGCCGGTACTTCACTTCTGTTCGCTAGCTGGATCGCCAGGTTGTCCGGTATAACGATATTGTCTGTAAGAAATCGAAAACAAAAAATGATGCCATTAGTGGGAATCGAACTCGGGCAAGGGCGAACTTTAAGGTCACGGACCAACTGTCTGCGTCTTAGCGTTTAATTGATTTGTGCTCGGGTCCCACAGGAAGATGTAGTACAGGGAAAGCATTATGGCTACCAGCGAGACGCACAGGACATAGGCGGCCACCGTCAGAATCCGGATGGCTTTCTGGTTCTGCTTGGCCTCGTACAGCCGGTCCTTGGAATCCTCGCCGGCCAGCTTGATCTTCTCCTCTGCCATGTAACTCATGATGTTTGTGCGTTTCGTTCGATTTCGATCACTCTACCGTTTAAAACATTCTACCGAAGAAAACATCAGAAGAAACTCATTCAAAACCGGTTCACAAACGCAGTAGGCCGAGAACCCATTTTTTGAGTAATGCATATTCGAATATTCGAAACACTTTCTCATTTACTGCCGATAAATTTAATTTCGAACATGAAAGCAGCGCCGCAAACTTCAATTGCCCATCGCTAATGCAAAAATCCTTTGCTCAGATTTAATTACATTATTGAACCCTCCCCTCTCCGGAGCCCCGCGAGTAAACATCCTCACAATCGCAGTAGCTGAGCAAGAGCAACAGAAACTGGCATTATTATTTAAATATACCTTCCTACGATACACCCAATTCCGCGTGTGCGTTTCATGACCGACTGTGTACCGGCAGATCGTGTTTTGATAAATAAATTATTGATTTTTCCGACCACCCCACCTCCCCTTATGGCCCATGCCACATTCCAGTGCCCTGGAGGGCGGGTTTGGAGCTACGTTCTAGTTTACTCGTTTTTCTCACGAATGCTACGATGAACGAACAACCGTCTGTCCGCTCGGTCGTCGTTATCAACATTGAAGTAGGCGATTACCCAGCAGTAGAAATCTTCATTAACCTTTCAAAAAGGGCGAAATTGCTTTTGTAAACAATGCACACGCAAAGTAACGACACCATCAGGTTGATCAATGTTTCCTCTACCAGCTGGCTTCGTTAAGCTGCAGGAGTCAGCATTTAAATCGGCAGTTGACGTAATTGTTTACAAAAGCAGTTTCGCCCTAATGAAATGTTGGCACCGAAATAGGTGGATCGACTTCCAGTGCCTACTGTATTTCGTTTTTCTTCACCGTCACTCACTCCAACACATGGACGGTGGGTGGCATCCGGTGATTTTGTGTTTTCGATGGTAGTTGGTTGTTCCTCCGTTCTTCCTTTTGGTTGTATTTACAACTGCATAACGATAACTTCCTATAGCGTGTGCTTCCTGCGGCGCTGGACTGGAGTATTGTTGTTTTGAACGAAATTAATTGCGGAGCATATGTTCTGCAACGAATTGTGCGCGATTTCTCCATGCGCCAGCCAGTCTGTTGGTCAAACTGTTGATGGTTGGAACTCCAAGAATGCAAAGAGCCACACAATAACACTCAATTTTGGGTGATTGTTATATGATGAACCCCTACGACAGCTGCCCAAGTCATGACATCAAAATCGTTATCGGAGGTCTTAACGCTCAGGTCGGCCAGGAGGAGGAATTCAGACCGCTTATAGGAAAGTTCTTGCCGGTGGAAGGGTTCCCATGAGTTGACCAGCAGTCTTGCCTTTGAGTCGCACACATCGCATACATCCCTGTACTACTTTCCGAACTACCGTCTGGCAACCAACTATCCAATACTGTTGACGGACAATTGCGGTCAGAAGAGACGGTCCTGCGTGAAGGTTGCGCAAATGCAGATCGCGCACTAGTAGCTCCGTAACTCGATGATTTTGTGGAAGGATTATTGGATGTTTTACTTCGTATGGCTGGGCCGAATTATGTAGACGGCCGCCCACACGCAAGGTTCCCTCTGAATCCAAAAAGGGATGCAATGCCGAAATGATATGCTTAGGTTGGAGACACTTACCCTTACGCAGCAATTCTAACTCTTGGCCGTATACCTCGTGCTGCACAGCTTGCAACAGATGTATCTTAGCTTGATATAGCTCGTCCAAAGTCAGCTCTCCAATGTGTCGCTCGCTGGTGCCTTGCTTGAGTACGACGGGTTTTAAGTTGTAGATCACACGGTACACGCATGCCAAGGAACGAACCAAAAGTGAAAAGCTGGAAAAATTAACGATTAGCTGCTGCTCAACCTTATAGTTGATTATTTTCGTCGTCAGTGTACACAACGATTTGATCGGTTTGACCTCCAACGAATCTTCGTCGACAACCTGTAGTGCTGGACTTCGCTTCCAACCGGATTCATCTTCTTTCAGCCACGGTGCTCCTTGAAACCATAGCTGATTGTTGACAAGTTCATCTGGTGATAGTCCACGCGATGCAACGTCTGCAGGGTTATCCTTGCTAGATACGTGATTCCAGCAGCTTCGTGGCAGGTAATCCAAAATTGCAGATGTCGTGAATAGCAGCGCTCCGTTCAACTCTAGACGAGGTAGTGACACTTGCTTGATTGGCGCCACCCGAGATTTAGCCGCAATGAGTACCACCGAAACGTTTTTCTTGATCATCGACTGTTCTCGCGTACACCACCGCAGCATATGCCCGTTCGGAGGCGTCCGAAAAACCATGAAACTGCACACGGTCCCGGCTTGGAAAAATGCATCGTGGAATTCGGATGGACTCGAGTAGATGAAGATTTTGCTTCACTGCTTGCCATTCTTGCTCGATGGCTGACGACAACGGGTTATCCCAGGCGATGTCGAAAAGCCAGATGTGTTGATAGAGAATTTTGATTTTGACTATTACAGGAGCCAACCATCCGAACGGGTCGAATAATCTGGAAGAATCTGATATCATCTGGCGCTTAGTGTTGACTCTGTGCGAGGAAAAACTAACCTTGAATCCATATTCATCTGGAGACGGATACCACAGGATGCCCAGTGCCTTCGCTGCCTCGTTGTAATCCGAAAGCTTCATATGTACGGGTTGTGCTTCGTCCGAAGAGTGGTTGGATAAAAGATTCTCACAATTAGACGACCACTTCCTTAGTTCAAACCCGGCTGAAGATAAGATTTCGACCACCTGCTGCTTCAGCCGGATTGCTTGTTCCTCGTTGTCTGTTCCGGACAGGAAGTCGTCGACGTAAAAGTCAAGCTTGATCCGCTCCACTGCTTCCGGATAAACAGCTTCGTACGGCTTAGCTGATTCTCTCATGGCCTCGATCGCCAAATACGGGGCTGTTTTCGTTCCGTACGTCACTGTACAAAGGCGATAGTGCTTCAACGGCTGATCGGGTTCTTCACGGAAGACGATACGAAGATAGTCACGGTCCGCTGGATGTACCAGTACTTGACGGTAGAATTTGGCAACATCCGCACGGAAAGCCACACGATGTGAACGGAACCGCAACGAAACTGTGAAGATATCAGCGTTATTGTTTGGTCCGGCCAACAGTCTGTCATTGAGCGAAACTCCAGATGATGACACACAAGACAAATAGTAGCACTCACCGCTAACCTTCTGAACTTCGGCTACCGGAACCTCCTCCATATGTCCGAGCTCCAAATATTCACGCATGAAGTTAGTGTATTGATTCTTGAACTCCGAATCCAGTTGAAATCGCCTTTCGATACATGTGAGTCGTTTCGTGGCCTCAGTGAGAGAATCGCCAAGCGCTGGCTTCGAATTATCAAAGGATAGTCTGACAATGAAGCGTCCAGTATCATCTCGTGTCAGGGTTGAACTGAAATAATCAGTAACCAGTTGCTCAGAAGGAGTAATAGTACGTTCAGACTACAGAGTTATAACATGTTATAGCGCTATCTTGATGGTGGTTTCTGTGTTGCAATTAGTTGACAACCGTTATAACATGTTATAACTCTCCAGTCTGGACAGCGTTTAAGCGATGGTGGTTTGAACATTTCCTCCTGTTCCCTAAATTGCTGCCATTTCGACGTGCAGGCTGAGAATTGCGTGGTTGCTTTGAATGACAGCTGCAGCGTCGTAGCGGCCTGCTACGATCCATCCGAAAATCGTCCGTTAGGCCACTGTTTGGCCGCTCTCGTTTTTGACTTGATCTCCCTCCAAGAGTGCAAGAAAAACGCCTGCTCCCAGAATGATGTCTATCACGCCTGGTTGATTGAATTCCGGATCCGCCAACCCGTCCAGTTAATTTAGAAGCTTCATGTTATCCACATCGAACGGCTGAGACGGTATTGTGGTAGTCAGTTTGCCAAGAACGTAGGCCTCAATGCTCAAGACTAGGGTGTCCTTGAACCGAGATGCAAGGCGCAATGTCACCACACCGCGTGTCGTTCCGACCTCTTGTTGACCCAGACCGTTGACTACTAGCTTGCCGTTCCTTCGTGGTAGTTGCAATTTCCGGACACAGGATTCTGTCACCAACGACGCTTGAGAACCGGAATCGATGAGAACTCTCACTGTCATAAAATCGCCATCCACCCTTCGCACCTTGACAACAGCCGTTGGCAGCAACGGGATAGATTTTTGCTTGTTCTCCGGAACTTCCGCCGCCAGTGAGACAATGGCACTTTCTTCCTTTGCAGGGGCCACCGCCGAATCTTCTTGTTGTTCTGCTTCCGGTTGTTCAGCCTTCCTCACCTCAGGACACAGCAGTGTATGGTGCCGTTGCTTGCAGTCGGAGTTGTGGCACACAGACTTCGACGTACACGACTTCACCGAATGGAATGGCCGTAAGCACACTCATATTTTTGAATTCTTCACACTGATACGTATTGTGCTCACTGGAGCACTTCGCGCACTTTTTGTCCGTTGTTGAAGTATACAGCGTCTTCAGCTTCGTCGAGATTGGCACCGATCTTTGTACTTCCTTCTTCGGTTCATTCACTGGTTTCTTCACGAACGCAGAACAAGTTTCGATCACCTCACAGCGCTTTTTGAGAAACGCCAGCAGTTCCTCGAATGTTGGGTTCTCAATCTCCACTACTTCTTGAGACCAACTGGCTCGTGTGTCCTTGTCCAGCTTCTCCAGGATGAGATGGATTAGCCACGGATCTCGGCTTTTGAACTCCTGCCCCAAAGCATCCAGCTGTTGCACAATCTCGTCCGATGTTGTAACTAGTCTGCTCAACGACTGCGGCGATGCTGGAGTTACGGCCGGTTGGGCCATGAATTCGTGAACCACTGTGAAACGCTTTTTATCGTAATGGTTGACCAGTGTTTCCCACGCTTTATCGTAAATTCACACCCGAGATAGGGAACTTGTTGACTAAGCGTTTGGCGTCTCCATCCAGATAGGAAAAGAGGTATTGCATTTTCAGCGCATCTGTAATGTCAGCCCGATTGTGGATTGTTGACACGTAGAGGTCCTTAAACGTCATCCACTGTTTACGTTCACCATTGAATGGCTGAATCTGGATGGCAGGCAACCGAACATTCAACTGGGGTGCACCATTAGACACCTCTTCTCCGTCGGGAAGTTTGATTGCAGCAATCGGAAACTTCGACAGATTTTCGACGGTTTTTGCTGTCATCGCCTGATCCAACAATAGCTTCCTTTGCGTCTCGATGAGCAGATGAAGTGCCTCCTTCCAATCGGCCGTATTGGCAACAGGTTGCTGACTCACGGAAGATCCAACTTCATCCAGATGGCTTTCGAAAATATCCTTGGCTCTGTAGAACATTTCGAAAAACTCCTCCCTGACCGAATGCACCGATGCGATGGCTACTGGGTCCTCCTGTTTCTCCTCGATGGAGCTCTGCGTTTCCCGAAAACTAGCAGCAAGCTCGTTTAGCTGATTCAGTCGGTCCCTGACCTCACTTTGGGACGGATTCCGCTCTTTGATGTTGTCCGCGACTGAAAGCTCTACCTTGATTTGAGCCATGAGGGCGTTCCTCCGGCTAATCAGCTTTTGCAGGTCCGACATTATCCGGTTAGAAGGACCAATGTTTGGGTATTAGCGAACTGTAGTTTTGCTGATTTAAAGCTTTGACTGCCTTTCGGAAATAGAAAATATACTTATTTTTTTTACTACGATTTCAAAAACACGTTTATTCTTCTGGACGAATGAAACAAACTAAATTCATGTGACATTCCAAATTGTTTTTTTCCGGAAATAGAAAATTGGTTCAACCCGAAGGTAAAAATACGGCGCTCGCAAAGTCGGGGGGTGCTTCGATACTGGAACACCATGTCTGAGGCCATTTTGAAATTCAATATGGCGGCATCCGGCTAGAGAAAAACTTGGAAATTCTGCCAAATACCCCACAAAACTGGTATTTTTGGAGTCGGGATGACGTGTTGGGACCGGAAATCGATGTCTGAGGCCATTTTGAAATTCAAGATGGTGGTTTCCGGTTGGAGAAAAACTTGAAAATTCTGTGAAATACCCCTCAATATGGGTATTTTTGGAATTGGGGTGACGTGTAGGGCCCGGAAAACGATGTCTGACACCATTCTGACTTCAATATGGCTGCTTCAGGTTGGAGAAAAACTGGGAATTACTGCCAAATTACCCACAGTATGAGTATTTTTGGAACCTTGGTGACGTGTAGGGTCTGGAAATCGATGTCTGAGACCATTTTGAAATTCTAGATGGCGGCTTCCGGCTGGAGAAAACCCTGAAAATTCTGTCAAATACTCTACAATATGGGTATTTTTGGAATCGGGATGACGTGTAGAGTCCGGAAATCCATATCTGACGCCTTTTTGAAATCCAAATGGCGGTTTCCAGGTAGAGACAAACATAAAAATACTGTCAAATATCCCTCAATATGGGTATTTTTGGAATCGTGTTGATGTGTAGAGACCGAAAATTCATGCCTGGCTCTATGTTGAAATCCACGATGCTGGGTTCCGGTAGAAGAAAAACTTGGAAACACTGTCAAATACACCACAATATTGGTATTTTTGGAATCGACGTGACGTGTAGAGCACGGAAAGCAATGTCTGACGCCTTTTTGACATCCAATATGGTGGCTTCAGAATACAGAAGAATAGAAAAATACGGATGGGTTTTCCGTCCTTACACGTCACTCCAATTCCAAAAATACCCATATTTACCCCCCAACTTGAATTTCAAAAAAAAGGCGTGAGACATCGATTTCCGGTCCCAACACGTCACCAAGATTCCTAAACTACTCATAAGGCGGTGTATTTGACAGAATATCCCAGTTTTTATTTAACCGGAAGCCGCCATCTTGGATATCAAAATGGCGCCGGGCTTGGATTTCCGGTCGATATACGTCACCCCGTTTCCAAAAATACCCATAGTAAGGGGTATTTGACAGAATTTCCAAGTTGTTCTCCAACCGGAGGCCACCATATCACCAAGTCACCAAGATTCCAAAAATACCCACATTGAGATGTATTTCACAGAATTCCCAAAGTTTTTTTTCCACCCGGAAGCCGCCATCTTGAACTTGAAAAAGGCGTCAGACATGGTTTTCCGGTCCCTACACGTCACCAAGGTTTAAAAAAATACCCAATATTGTGAGTGATTTGGCAGTATTTCCCAGTTCTTCTCTAACCGGGAGCCGCCATCTTAAATTTTAAAACGGCCCCAGACATCGATGTCCGGTCCGTACACGTCACCCCGATACCAAAAATACCCATATTGAGGGGTATTTGATAATATTTTCAAAAAACTTTTTTATGAAATAAATTCCAAGTAATGAGATTTTGTTACGTCTGGTTCGATTTACGAACCGCCGTGCCGCTGGATCGGAAATGGAGAAACTGACCGAACATTTTCAATTCATTTTAATGATATTTTTATGCATTATTTCAAACATGTGAACGCGGATTATGTTTAAGAAAAAAATAAAATATTTTAATCTACCTTGTTTGACATGGAATACGACTCGAAACGCATGTTCATAGTAAAAACTAAAAACCTGCGATCAAACTGATAAATGAACCTACAAAAACTGCGTAGGCCCTTTTCGAAAAACAAAGCAAACTGACATTTCGGCGAATGAACACCGATTCTCTTTGCAACTCACCTAAGACTGTAAACCATTTGCCGAGTTAAATTTAACTCGTGGTTAAAAGTGACATTTCGAAAGTTATTTTCTATGTTCGAAAATCCCCTTGCTATCGATCGACCGGTTTTCGACCCACGGTTGTCAAAATTTAACTTCTTGTCTGTCAGAAATAACCACGCTCGGATAGCAGGGTTAATCGATAACTTTCCATCTGTAAAATTTTAACCAAAAGTTAAAAAAAAATCCAC